GGTCCAGAAGAATCCACGTGGCCTGCAGCCGATGAGTGCCACGTGGAAGAGGAACACAATGCTGTTGAATATTTTGCTGTATCTATCTTTGACAGATGCTTGCTGAACCTGTTCTTACAAACATGTAAACTGTTTATGTTTTGAAGCTTAACTGGTTTTGATGTTGACAGGTGATCTTACACATAACCTTTAATACAATAACCTTTAACTTGGCACTGGCCATAAGAAATGGAGTTTATCCTCAACTTCGTGGTTGGTTTATAAGGAATTAACATCAGAAATTTGTCGTCTGACCGTTTACAATTTTTGCTATATACCCAGATGCTGACAATGTCTGGTAGCTTCAAGTAAAAATGACAAAGCGGATAGATAACACAAATTTGGTCCCCAGCCTTGTAGCAAGTACATCAGCCTTAGCCTACAGATGATATCCTGAATGAACTCCTTTACATATAGGAAAACAAAAACAGTAACAGGGAAGCAACCATGCGGCACACTCAGAGGCCATGGCATAGGTTACAAAAAATAAATGAAACAGGGAACAGTGACAAGGAAGTATGAAGGAAGCTTGAGTTTGGATGTTGCAGGATCCGAGGAACAAAAGGACCCTTTGTGGCTTGCTCAGCAGTTACAAAGCATGAAAAGATATAGCTATTAGAATTGTCTCAGATATTTAAGTTTTGTTGGCTCACCTTCTGTAACTCGCGTCAGTTACAAGTTCTATTTTGTTGTTCCTACAGAAAGCAATTTCTTAGCTGAGCTGTACCTCCCCTCTTGCAGAATTCGAGCTACAGCCCTACCATTCCAGCAGGACGTTCCCTGCAGTTCACAGCTGCTGTCCCATGGTGACACCAAATACGAATGTAGAGGTCAGTGCTTTCTTCAGCTGGGTTCAAACTGAAATAGCTGGCAACGTACTAGGCTTCTGTAGCTGCTATCGTGAAACTTTTGTTTTGTAATCTTCTAAGACAGAAGAGGTTTGTGCAGAACATCATACAATGGGACAGGTCAGGAATAAGATAAGGCTCATCACAGAACACTGAAAATTTTTGTAAGAGTATTTCATCTAGGCTGTTCCATTTTGTTCCCCTGATATACTTTATACACGAAGGAAAATAAAGAAATGAAACCGTTGACTTCTTTGAGATAGTGTTTGATTTGCCTAGCTGGCTCTCATTTCAAAGGACTTCAGAAATAATTACATTGCTTGTTTAGAAAGATTTGATATATAATGTCTATTCTTCTCTTATTTCACATGAGAATTCCTGAAGACTTTTATAGATATTTATTTCAAGATTTCAAAACTTAAATGGGTATGCTGATTCTTTGATAAATGCATCCTTTATCCCAAGTGTTCATTAGACATTAAAGTTGAATACGCCTTAATAAAAAGAAGCAGAGTCTAACATTGCTACCAATCCTGATGCTTAGCTCTCAAGATTTTTTCTTGTGATATAAAATAATTTAATCTCTTACTGATGCCCCAAGTTTACCTGAAAATTATATATACATTAAAAATACATACATAATAGTCAGTATTTCCATTCACTGCTTATACAGAAAAAAGCAGGGGGAAAAGGCATACCCTTCTTTTTCTTTCCAGTACGGGTCACTTGAAGCGTGACTACAATCTCACCTAATGAAACTAATGAAGGGAATGGAAAAATAAAATACTCTCCCAGCTCCTAGAAATCAATTTCTTACACTGCCAGTCTCTGCCACTCAGTACTTCATTTCTGACCATCATACACAGTTCTCAGAAGATTTGTCAAATTCAGCAATTTGCTCCCAACAATCTTATTGATTAAAATCATTATGAAAGATGTAAGCAATCATAAACCAGAAATTAAAGACATTACTTCCACTATCGAAATTAGTTAAACTTTTACATAGTTTAATTTTTATCGCCTTTAATTTGAATTTTTTTGTTTTATGGCTTCAATCAAATCTTCTGCAGGTGTGAAACGTGCCACATTAACATGTTCACATTGGCAACGAGAAGTATATAAAGGAGCAAACTCTTTTTGCTCTGCAGCTATGGATGATGTTGCTACATTGGTGCTGCTGGGGTTCTACTGCAAGATGCTAAGGGTCCAGAAGAAGCAGCAACCTATCCCACACCCACAAGTGACAGAACCATTTTTAACTAGGCATGAACAAAAGATTTGGAGAATGGAGAGATTCCCGAGGATAAAAAGTAATGCAGAAAAAAGGAACTCACAGCCACCACGGCTGTTAGTTAGGCAATCTCCGGAACACAGGAGAACTCTCCATGCTTTGGCCTAGAGCTTTAGATTATCAATGTTTAAGTAGAATTTTACTCCACTACAGACACTGTGGCTATAACTACATGTACATAACTATTTTTTACATGCATTATGTGCTTAAAGTTTTAAAGACACACATTTTGCATTGAAAAAGCAGGAAGAATGCAGGGAAGAGCATTTATTAAATAAAAGGTCTTTGAAAAACAGCATTCTGGGTTCTACCCAGCAAATAAACAGCTAAGGTTTCTGTTTATGTTTAATTTTGACTGCATTTGGCTTGTGTTTGTTTCTGTGTCAATGCTACAACAAACTCATTTAGCTAGAGACTATAAATTTGAAATGGTGCCATTTTTACAAGAAAGCCACTATTATATTCCAAGTCACCGTTGTCCTAATTACAATAATATAGCATTTTCATATAATCTGGCCCAACGACATAATCACCGTTTCTTTTTTTCTTTATGTACCTAATATTGCCTTATATAAAACAAACCGATTTTTTCGATAGATGAGGCAAAACTCAAGATGTTCAGTTAAAAAACATTCTGCATTTTTTTCTAAGGTACCCTTTTGCAAGGCTAATGACCCTGTGATTAAACATGGACTGCAAAGAGATTCAACAGATTTTAATTAATGAACACTTCTAATATGATTTAGCCATTAACCATTGCTGATTGTTTTACTCTGTTAGTGTCAGGTTTCATAGTTTCTCTTTGCAACAGGCTAGCAATCAGAGATGCAATTAACAATAAAAGTATTTTTATATGGCTAGGTAAGAAAGCCTATGTTTGCTGGCAAGCTAAGATTAAAAGCCACCATAAAAATAAGATGTGTGCGCTCAACTAGTGCTCTTCTGCTGTTTTGGCTGTGTTTTTATGTGCAAGTCAGGGTACAGATTCTGCACATTAGTCAGAAAGAAAAATGCATATGCTGCCACTGGGAGTAGGAAAGCAAATTTTTTGGTGTGGCAGTGAAATGTGCGTATTGAAAAAAAAAAAAAAATCAAACCTGTATGTTCTAAAGGAGGTAACACATAGTCAGTGCCAGAAATTTACATGAATCCATATTCAATGAAGCAACCATTTTGTTGAAAGATTGTAATGGCTAGTAAAAATAAAAAATGTGGCCATAATACAACCTAGTGGGACCATGTTTTCTCATTTTCCCAGGGACTTGTGGGTTTTTTTGCCTTTCTG